ACTTATTTTGAAAAATCACCGGATTCTCTCCATCACTTCTGTCAATGAGTCACTCTTGTCACTGGTCAACATACACACTGGCTCCTAAGTGGCTGAAGAAAAAGATATTTGGGAGCCGATTACCCTCTCTTAACGTAATTTATACGGACCGGGTTGGGCCCACACAGCAGGTGGGCGTGGACTAAATTTTTCAGTGCAATGCTTCACATGACGGGATAAACCCACTAGCGACAACTCTTAAAGGGCTACGCCAATACTCATAGAATCTGGGGTTACAGTACGTAACCAACGCTTTTGACCAAAATGGCCAAGTTTGAAACCAACTGAGCGAAATCCCTAGGAGGAGGAGTTCAAATGTGGAGGCTGTAAACTGCCAAAAAGGTGTGAAAATTGGACAGGCTTTCCAAAATGGCTGCCTTCCTGTTTATCGTACAACGTTGGTGCCAGAGGGTTTTCTGTGCATCTTGGAGAATTGGACAAGTGTACCAAATTTCATGTTTCTATGACAAACTAAAGTTAATGCGGAGGGTATTTTGAAAATTTCTAGGTGGCGCTGTTGAGCCGTTTCTGTTGCGATTTTTGCCACGCCCTTAAAATAAGTAATTTTTCACCAGTCCTGATGCATCTGCCAAATTTGGTGAGTTTTGGGATATGCTAAGGCCCCCAAAACGCCAATACATTTGACGGGAAAAAAATTGCAGCTCAGGCCTGAACAGAGCGATTACAATAACAATAGGCCTTCGCAGCGCTTTGATGCTTAGACTTAATTAAAGTTTTGCACTTTGCATAAGTTAATGTGCTTTTGTGTACAATCTGATGTGAATCACTATCACTACGGAGCAGGGAGGAGGAGGATAAGGCTCAGCTGACCCCGGTGTAGGATATACTAATGAAATGAGAACTGATCCTGCACTTAATACACTTATAAATCACACATAAAGTGATTAAAAGTAAATATGAAAAACAGGTGCTGGCCATAAAATTAGAATGTTGTGAAAAAGTTGATTTATTTCAGTAATTCCATTCAAAAAGTGAAACTTGTATTTTTATCCGTTACACACAGACTGATGTATTTCAAATGTTTTTCTTTTTTTTTTTTTTTTTTTTCGAGAATGAATGGGTTTACCTCCTGGGTTTGGGCATGGGCTACCCCCTGTAGAGGGCGGGTACATGTCTTGGACCTGGGGGGTATAGAGTGCGTATCGGGAATAAGAATGAAAAGTATCGTTATTGTATGTCTTTGAGTGAGTGAATGTGAGATTGAGGTTGGGATAGTGTGATTGTGTCTGTGTATGAATGGGTATTTGTTAGGCCGAGACTCGGACTGCCCCCTCTTTCATACAACTGGGGGTGCTTGGCATCGCGCCCCTATCGCGCGGCCCCCTGGTGGGGTGTGCCCTTGCCTGCCGGCGCGCTTGGGGCCCTTGGTATCGGGGGCTGGGCGCTTGGGCGTGTGTCGGCTCGGCCTGGTGTCTGCCTGGTGGGGCTCGGGTCCTCTGGCCCTGTCGGGCCTTGGCCTGGGTGGTGTGAGTCCTCGGTGCCCGGACCTGGACCTACATCGGTGCGGCGGGTTCCGACGGAGGCCTATGAGTTTGTCGCTGTTGGCCCCGGGGGGTCACTGCATGTGGTTGCTGGTGGGGATCTTCCGGTTCTCCCCTGTGGTCCGTTCTGGGGGGTGGGTGAGTGGTTCGTCCTGTGTGGGTGGCCCTGGGGGCTCCGCGGTCGGGGTCCCTCCTGGGGTCTTGGGCTCTGGTCCCCCCTTTTTCGTCTGCCTCTGGTCTTGGGGGTCGGGTCTCTGCTGCTTCACAGTTACTATTAAATGTTCTATTAGAGAAGCCTTATACACTTATGCATGCTCACAAC